TTTTGGGGTCTTGTGAATTTGATCTTTAGTTGTTAATTGTTGTATTTGTTATCCAATTTTTGTTGTTCATACTGAACTAAATATTTATTTTATTTTAAATCTTGATAGATTTTGACAGTTTATTATCTCTAATCCTTGAAAACACTTTTTGATCCTGTTTTTACCATCTCTTGCTTCAACGTGATTGATAGTATTACGTTCTTAGCATTCTTAAACCTCGTTGGATATCACAAACTATGGTGCATCACATTGCAGACATTCTCGAGCATTTTTGCCTACAATTGGGAACATCTTACTCAGTTGGACTATTTAAAAAATCATTTGAAGTTCGAGTACCACGATGAATCCGCTAATCATACTCTGAACCAGTCCTGCATCTATGTCGGAGAATCGAACCAAAAATTAAACCAATTGGACTTCTGTTCCCATCTCAACTTACATAAACTGGATCAAGCAGTTTTCAATCAAATGACCAATTTTATCATCCATGGCTTCCACCAAAGCTTCTTGGTACCTTAAAAACAATGTAGGTGCTAATTTCATACAATAAAAGAAAACATCTACACAATGCAGCATTCTCAGAACTTCAAAATGGACTTATTTCACAATAGAAAGTTGTTGAGAGGTTTCGACGAACCCCCATTTGATCATGGATTATCTAACATCAACAAGACTCCATGGATTATCTAACATCAACAAGACTTCAAAATTTTCCAGAAATATGTTCAATAGGCTATCCTTAAAAAACATCAATTGGGTCAACTTGGTAAGTAATTCACATACAGTGCTGCAAACAGGAAAGCAGAATCCTAACAAGAAGCCCAGCAACCTTTGCAAACAACACACGAAAAAACCAAAGCTGCTGAATATCGGAGAAGAAGACATCATAACCATTAATGTAGAATTTTTTTATGCCTTGATAATCAAATAATACTTTTATACGTCCTTATCCAAGCAAAATGGGGTCAAGAGCTTTGTATATGAACTATCCACTTCAAACCACTGCTATGCTTAATGCTCCGATGCAATCGGTTCTTGATCCGGTACTTGATCGATGTTGTGCTGACTTTCCCCTGAATCAGCTTCAGAAATTTCTTGATCAATGTCAGACTGATGTTCACCGGAATCAGCTGCAGAAGCTGCCTGCTGCTGAAGGGCTGGAGATAAACCTTCATTTGTTACATTTGATATGGTGCTGTTCTCCTCCGGTGTTGCCTTACACGAGGTTACCTTTCCCTCATTTGTTGCTTTAGATGATGCAGGAAACTTTTCCCGACTGGATGTCTTTTCCTCATTTGTTTTACCGGACAAACTAACCTTCTGAGAAGGCAGTTTAGGAAGTGATTTCCGCTGCGGCTTCTTGGCATTGACAGGAGAAATTACTTTGGAAGAGATGCACCGAAATGCTTTCTCATCCAGGCTTAGCAGGATTGATTGGTGGCCATTATTGCTGTTACCATCAGAGTCCGAAGGAGTTGAACCTTTTCTTCGACCAAGCTTGGGAGATTTAGCTCTTGTTGGTGGTATCTGAATCCAGAGAATTTTAAAATATCAATGTTTGCAAAATTTGAGAAAACAAATGCAGCCATACATATGAAACTGAGAGAAAAGCAAGCAATGAAGTCCGATGTGGTTAACAAAATGCGTATATTCAAAAATAGAATTCTAAGACCAATAGGGGTAGATTCAGGTGGTAAGCAGCTTGAAATCGCTTAAACAAAATCTCGAGTTCGAGTTCTTGTGTATGCAGAAAATCTCTGTTTGGAGATTCACCCACCAAAACTAGGTGTGTGACACGGGTCGGTCCAGATTAGTCAATGCGAAGCCTTGGAACCAAGAGGGCAACCAAAAAAATAGAATTCTACGTGCACAAAACATATAATGCCTACATTTATCAGCCCATTCAAGATGTAGAACCAGAGCATATAAATGCATGAAAAAGTTGACACATCATGCTATAACTGGGACACGTTTTTTATGATAAAAAATTAGAATAAAATGATTAACCTAAAGTAGCTTTGATATTACTTGGCAATTCACATGACCTACCCTAACGGATTGACTAAATTTTGCAAAGTATCAAATACCCAATGGAAAATATTGGGAAAAGCATGTAAATCAGTATCTTATGACAATAAATGAGTCCGAGAGACTAGAAAATTTATCACCTCAAGCTCAACCTTGCATTTACAATTTCAATTTTATGCTCTCAGGTTTGTTTAGAAAGGTTTTTCATAACTATCACAACATAGATTTAATTGTAATGCAAACTAGTTCAAGTTGTTACAAGTTAAATGCATCAGCTCCATCTAACAAAGAAGTTGACAGAGGTAGGGCTTCCCAATGCGCAATCTAAAGCATTTTGCAGACACAAAAAGTGGCTCTTGCAAAGATGATGAACAGATACATGTAAAGGCTTGAATAAAAATGCATACAATTAGAAAAAAGGTGGCAAACTAAAATATAAGAAAACCTTTTAAAACAGGAAAATAAAGCAATATGAATAAGCATGCCATTGTAATTAAAATTGAAGTAAATATTGCCTATGAAAATTTTATATTCAACGGATCATCTAGCTTTCTATACATCAGAACACTAAACTAACCTTCTTTAGTTCCATTTTAGGAGGTGGAGCCTCCTGATAGAAGCTTGGCATTGGAGTTGCTTTAAAGTTCAAACCCTTCCTAAACATCTTAATTTCAGCTTCTTGGGTTTCCTGGAAGAAAATTGGAATATCATTATGATAAGAAAGGAGTTCAGAACAATAAGTAATTGCATTTACAAAAATCACCTTGGACTTGGCTTGCAAATTGCTTTTTTCTTCTTCCTTTGCCTGAATCTTTTCCTCAAGTTTGGTGTAGAACTGTACAACATAATGGTGAGGGCAAATAACAGTGCTGCAATGACTAACAACATAAAACCTCATAAATATAATATAAATCACCGACCTCTTTCCTTTTCTCAGCTCGTTCATCACACTTGAAACTGAAACCGTAATTTGGAAGAGAACCAACCTTACAGGGTTTGGCATCAGCTTCAGTGGGGCTTCAATGAAGCAATAAGGATAAACATAAATATGCCATTAAAAAATAGAAAGAACAAGAGTGCTCAAATAGCACTCCCTGAACCCACAGTCCCAAACAGAGAGTAATAACAAAAAGTTCAAACCAAAAAGGATACCAGGACTCTGTGTCTCCTTCAGCTTTACCAAGAGTCCCTTTTTTCAGAGGCTTCAGTTTGGGTTTCTCACTGTAATACAAAACAAAACAGTTGAGAATATGCAGGATAATATAGCTGTCATCATCTAGCGCATAAAGTTTAATTTCAGGAGAAAAATTTTTTTGATAGAATTTCAGGAGAAAATAAATAGATAAATGGTGACTAGTGGCCACTAAGCGCTTTCCCTTGGATAACAAATGAATACAAAAGGGTAAAGGACGCATCAAAAAAGGAAAAGAACCGCAAACATAAGAACAAATATTCCGTACAAAGGGCCCTTGGAGAAGGCTGCATCGGTTTTCTCAGAACGCTGTACAGAGAGAGGACAAGCAATGATCAGAAAGGAATGAACAACGTTATAAAAAAAACAGTCAATGGAAACTGCAAACAAAAAGAAACCAGTAATACCCACAACTCCAACCTTGGATGCATTGGCTTGTCCTTCATTACAAGATCGACTTTTTGGAGGCTGTTTCGGATGTGAATTTGTAGCAATAGATCTTCCATTTGAAGTTGTTAACCTCGCCTCTACAATATTTTCATCTTTACCTTTTTTCATTGAAACTGAAGAAGCAATTTTGGGACCAGACGGCTTCTCATTCTTCGTCTTGCATTGAACCTTCCAAGGTTCGCATTGCTTCACATCCACATTATCTTTTACTTCCCCTTCCTATGAAGACAGGATGAATATGATATCAGACTAATGGTAATTCATTAAAGCACTAAGATAAAATGTTTAGACCTTCTACCTTATAATCAATCAATCCACTGTTTCCGATTAAGTCATTCAACCCTTCTCTAGCTTCCCCAGTTGCTCCATTGTCATCCCTTCCATTCAGCAAACAACTCTCAACAGTTTCCTCAATTTTTCCATTAACACCATTCAAAACATTAATGTCGTCTCCAGCCACCCAAAGTTGCGGGTAAACACCATTTTGATGGGCAACCTCAAGCCCACCCGCAGACGAGAGATTATCCGAATCCATCACACTGCACCAGAATAAAAACAAACAAAAGTGTGAGCCTAACTACAAACAATGGAAAAGAAATTAATATACAACATTTTAAAGTAACTCAAAATTCTCAAACCCTAAAAACAATTATAAAATTTATATAATGCTTAATAATTTTCATTGGTTTATTTCTATCCATACAACTTCAAACGGATAAATAAGATCAAATTTGAGTTTCCAAAAATATTTATCGATTTCATAACTCTTTTTAACAGATGTAAAATTTGGGGGGGGGGGGGTAGCAAAGGAAACACTAAACTAGATCTTATTTTTGCAGGTAAACAGTAAACAAACATCGAATTCAATACATAACGAGTTGCTTCATTTTAAAAAAATGAATTAAATCAGTGACAAACCGAGAAAAATAAATGCTCTAAGCAGAATAAATCTTTTACTCCAACGAGTACAGAGATCTTCAACGCCACCAAACAATTAACACATTGCACTTCACACCGATCTACTCTTCACCAAAAATCAAATACGAAATCCATCAGTCTTCTCAGGAACCAAACAAACAAACCTAAAAGGAAAATTGTTGCTTATTTTTCTTTCTTCCTTACCTCGTAAAGCGTGCGTTAAATCAAATCTACATAAACCGAAGACGTAAGTCTAATGACAGGAATTAGTGAAGAAAATCGAAAGGATCTGAGGAAAAAGAGGAAGACAGTAAGATAAAGAGCGAAGATTAGAGGATCTAGGGCCCAATACAGGAAGAAGAATCTTCAAATTGATTGAAATAAAATGTATTTATTTTGAATTTGAAACTCTTTTCTTTTGGATTTGATTGGGTTTTATTGATCACCCGAATTTAACCCGAGTATAAATAATATCATTCTATTTATGCGTTAATTACTTTAAATATCACTCTCTTTTAAATATGTATTTAAAATTATTATTATCTTAATTTTATTAATTTTAACATTAATATTAATATTTAACTCTAATTATGTCATTCCACCGTTAAATTATTAATGGGACACTGACATGACATATGTTTACCATAACTGTGATGACATAGACCTTTTCATTAAAACGACATAATTTTTTATAAGGATTATTCTTATTTTCTAAAAGACGTAATTTTGTTAATGATTTTTATTATTCTCAAAATCCATTAAATTATTCATTAATCTATTCTTATTCTCAAAACAAAACTAAACCCTTCCCAGTCAAACCCCAAAACTCTTCAGACAAATGAACGATTCATGTGGAAAAAAATTGTCTTTCAATTGATTTTTTATTATGTAGTCACTTATTTTCGTCCAGAATTTTATTTAGTATATATATATATATAATATAGTTTAAAAATATTTTTTTCGATAACATATATAATAAATAATTTTGAAAACATTTTTTGAAAATATATATAATATATAGTTTTGAAAACGTTTGTTGAAAATATATAATATATAGTTTTGGAAAACATTTTAAAAATGTATATAATATATAGTTTTGAAAACATTTTTAAAAACGCATAATATTTGGTTTTAAAAACATTTTAAAAACGTATATAATATATAGTTTTGAAAATATTTTTGAAAACATATAATATATGGTTTTGAAAACGTTTTAAAAAACATATATATAATATAGTTTTTGAAAATGTATTTTTGAAAACATATAATATATAGTTCTTTTTTAATATTTGAAAACATATAGTATATAGTTTTAAAAATATTTTTTAAAAATATAATATATGTTATATGGTTTTTCGTTATTATTATTATATTATTTGTATTACTATTTATTATTTATTTATTTAACCATTTCAGGACCAAATCAAAAGTAGGATTCGGGTCCAACAGTCCAATAGGCCCAGTAGGGAGCCCAACCGGGCAGACAAGCCTGACCCAGCAAGCTAACCTGGTGAGCCCAACAAAGTTAGGGTTAGGATATTTAGCAAAGGGCACCACAACACGTCAACCGTTAGATCTAGGCCCCGTGATCTAACGGCCCAGACCACATCAGGAGGGCAACGGGCAGCACGTGAGAACCAAGTGCCACCAAGGCTGAGATTTCTGGCATCGAAATCCGAAAAATCACAACACCCATGGACTGAACCATCCCCAAAATTGTTGGCCAACAAACCAATATGAGGAAACTGAAACCCTTAACCTCAAATAAATCAAGAAATAGGGGTAAACGATCCCCGAAGCAAACGGGATTAACCCCAGAAAATCATTCCGAGCATGGCTATAAAAGCCCATGCAAAGCACGAAAGAAAGAACACGACAACTAACACAAAAAGAACAAGTGGCAACCATGCAATAAAACAAAAAAACAAGCATCAAAATAGCAAAAATCGAGCAAAAGCATCTCGTAAAACCACGAAAAATCATAAAATAACAAATAAGAAGTTTTGATTATGGCCTAGGAGAGGAGCGGTCGTCAGAAGGTGAAGAGGCTCATCGGAAAAGGTAAAATTAAGACTTTGTATTTTAGATCTACGTCGTTGGGTTTGTTTTTAGGGCGTTTGGACTTAGGTTTTGGGTTCACAGGGTCAAGAGGATCATTTTACGCGTAGTTGAAGATTTGGTTTTTTTCTAATTCAAATCCCCGGAGTTTGAGAAGTTCGATGGGAACAGCTACCCGTCAGCTCACATTACCATGTTATGTCGAAAGATGACAAGATATGTAGGAAACAACCAACTCTTGATTCATTGCTTCTAGGAGAGTCTGTCTGGTTTAGCTATCTAGTGGTACAACCAGTTAAAGCGATCTCATATCAGGACCTGGAATGATTTAGCCAAGTCATTCTTGGAACAATACAAACATGTCAAAGATATGAGATCATATCGAGTTATGCTACAAAGTATGAAGAAGAAGCATAACGAAAGTTTCAGACAATAAGCACAGAGGTGGAGGGATTTAGCTGTGCAAGTTCATCCACCCTTGGATGAAAATGAAACCAGAAATCTCTTTGTGCAAACACTGACGACTCCTTACTTCGGGCACCTGGTTGCAATCAAATCTAGAAATTTTGCTGATTTGGTTATGGACGAGGAGATGATAGAAATGACCATAATGCAAGATAAGATCGAGGGAGAGGAGGCTGGAAATAAACCTTCTATGAAGAAGAGGGACGGAGAGGTCAACAACATCAACACCTACAACAATAAATATGTTACAATCTCCAACCCAAAATCAACTACAGTTATACTATCAGGTACTTCTAGACAAGATTCAAGGGAACCCAGGAAAGAAAGAGAAAGGGAACATTTCGATCATGTTCCCATGACTTACAAAGAACTGTATCAACAACTCTTTGACACTCACATAGTGTCACCATACCGGGTGGAACCCATGAAGCCCCCATACCCCAGGTGGTATGATAAGAACGCTCATTGCGAATATCATGGCGGTGTTCCAGGGCACACTATTGAGAACTGGTTCATATTCAAGAGGATCGTGCAAAGAATGCGTAATAAGAATTGGATCCACTTCAACAACTCAGGGGCACCAAATGTTGCACGAAACCCTTTTCCTAACCACCAAGAAGGCGGAGTTAATACAATTGTTGAGGAAATGAACAAGAGAGTCAAAATAAGTGTTGCTGAAATAAAGTCTCCCTTAGCCTGGATATGGAGATAGATGGTGAAAGCAGGGTTTCTTACGTCACATCCTAACACATCAGATCGCAAAAGTGGTAGTCATTGTTGTTATCACAATGAGGATGGACATGATGTACAAGAATTTGTCAAATTTAGAGCTTTGATCTAGCTAATGATAGACATAAAAGAGTTGGAATTTTACGATGAAAGCAATGACACTACCGAAGCGAATGTTTATGCAACTAGAGATGCATCTGAAAAATGAATCAAGGAACATTGTATCTTGGGATGAGACAATAAGAGATCATCATTATTACCACATAATTGTGTTGCCTATGAAACAATGTTTTGTTTGAATTTATCTTTTAAATGCTTGAACCGTTCTTTTAAAATAACATTTCTTTGAGTAATAGAGAATTGTTTGAAATTCAGTGAATATCAAGTATAATGAAATACACATTTTGAGAAATGAGGTTATAGTCTTTTGACATATGCCGATATCAAATTCCTTAAAAATAAGATCCATATTTTTTACCCGAAAAAGAAAAAATGTTTTATCACGTGTACAAGTATAAAAGTAGACAAGATGGGGCATCTCCGATGCATGACATTGCAAGACCAGTTTAGTTTGCATGTCTATTAAGTATGTTCCGTGATGATATACAATTTTCACAAATGGAATGGTGGAATAAACAAATTTGGCTTAGATCAGTTGTTAGAAATTGAGCACTAAAGACTAAATTTTCTGATTTTCACTAACACTCAGACTATAACATATTCTTCTTGACAAACTTAGGAAATCTCAAAATCAAAGAATTATTGTGGTATTAATGAACGATAATTTTAACAATGTTGGGGGCACTCCACTGAAAGTAGTAGGATGTTAATCTTCGGAGGTAATGTCTGAAGCAGTTATGGTGGTAATGTCTGAGCTTTATCAAGTGAGTTTCATTTGAGTTTGTCAAGTCGAAGACTTTTTGACACTTGAATCCTTTAACTAAGGGTATTTCGCTAAAGTAATGGGCAATGTTAAGTTCCCTAACTTTATGAATACGAGTACATTAAGATCATGACACTAGTCTCTAGGTGTCGAGATGAATCTCCCAGTAAAGCGAGGACATCAAGTTTAACAAAGTATAATAAATATGGATTTGAAATTAATTTCGATAAAAATAGACTAAGAGAGTTAAGAAACATCTGTTATAGTTGACTACACAAAATCACTCAGAGGTTTTTTTTAGATCAATATTTCGTCGCTATCTCTGCTTAAGGAGTATGTGAAAATTGAACAAATGGAAGATTCCTGAGAATTGAAGTAGAAATGCTCTCTAAAGGGCCTTACAGTGAAATGTATCAGTTGCGCTTGTTTACATCCTATTTGAAAATAATGAAAATCAAAACCAAATTGCATTGGCTTCTCATGGATCTTGACACTTTTCAAAGGGATATAACTTTTGAAAACAACTTGTGTGATTCATTTATTTAATATTCAGTGAATTGATACTTTGCTTCAATTGTTGTGACATCATTTTTATACCTAACCTTTTAAAAAAAGGGAGATATATCTCAGACAAGACAGTTTTTTTGAAAAATCGATTGAAGGACCTGAAACGATGTGGGGCATCTCCAGGTTCCCAATCTCTTCTCTTTCCACCATCCATGCCTCATAACGTGGTTCCTATCAAAACAGAGCTTGACATTGCGAAGAAAAATGTAGTGTTACAATCCAGTTTAGCTTAAATCAATGGTGAATGGCTAGTTTCCAGTTAAAGTTTTTAATCCATATTTCAATGCCACTCGAAGAACATCTCATATGAATTTCCCGTGAAATGGAGTCGTCCAAAGATCATCTCACTTGGTTCAGACCCATGAAGGGGAACCACGTAAAGAATATACCACTTGGATTTCCCGTGAAGAGGAGTCATCTAAAGAATTATTACCAGCTTAGACCCACGAAGGGGAGTCATCCTTTATTTAAAGGAACCATTTACAGCATAGCTCAAAGCGAGAAGGGTTATCTGTCAACGAAAACTTTCATGTTTGATTCTATTCAGATCGAGGGTGTATCAACCGCATGGTAGCAGCGAGTAACTACTTACCATTTGAATTTTAAACTGAGGTCTTTAAGTCAAGAAGAAGACCTAGGTTGGTTGTGATTTAGCAATAAGGAACTATCTCCCAACTGAATTTACATTATAGCTCAAGGCGAGAAGGGTT